CTGATAGAGGAAGGCCTCTGCAAACCTCAGACTGAGATGGTGGAGCCGGATCCTCTCCAGCAGTGTGTCTTTTTTTTTTTTTTTTTTAAAGATTTTATTTATTTATTCATGAGAGACACAGAGAGCGAGAGAGAGGCAGAGGGAGAAGCAGGTTCCCAAGGAGCAGGGATCCCGATGCAGGACTCGATCCCAGGACTCTGGGATCATGACCTGAGCCGAAGGCAGACGCTTAACCATCTGAGCCACCCAGGCGCCCTCCAGCAGTGTGTCTTAAGTTGAACACATGAATCATTTGGGAATTTTGTTAGCATGTGGATTCTAATTCACACACGTTCTCTGGCAATATTGATGTTGCTGGTTCAACTGCACACTTAGATCCATACTTTGTAAGTTTTGCAGAATTTCCTTTTCTGCTATTTTCCTCTCTTCCTGTGAAGGGGAACTTGACTGTAAAACTGTATAAATGGCGCTAGCTAGGAGCTAAGCTAAATGTCACCTTACGGAAAGTTGGGTCCTGCTTTATAGATTTTTCTAATTAGCACAGGCCTAGCCAACACTAGCTTTTGTTCTTGTTCTCTTTTTTCCTTTTTATTTTTAAAAACATTTTATTTATGGGGCCCCTGGGTGGCTCAGTGGGTTAAGCGTCTGCCTCCAGCTCAGGTCCTGATCTCGGGGTCCTAGGATTGAGCCGCACGTTGGGCTTCCTGCTCAGCAGGGAGTCTGCTGCTCTCTTTCCTCCTGTCCCTCCCCACTGCTTGTTCTCAAAATCTTAAAAAAGATGTATTTTTTTGTCAGAGTGGGAGGCACAAGCAGGGGGAGCGGCAGGCAGAGGGAGAAGTTCTGCTCAGTGGGGAGCCTGATCCCAGGACCCCAGCAGACGCTTAACCAACTGAGCCACCCAGGTGCGCCCCCCCCCCCCGTTTTTTAAAAGGTCTTATTTTTAAGTAATTACACCCAACATGGAGCTCAAACTTAAAGCTATGAGATCAAAAGGTTCCACCAACTGAGCCAGCCAGGCACCCCTGTTACTTGTTCTTTTTTCAGTCTTGGGATGCTTGGAGATTAGAGCAAAAGTTGATTCAGGTGTTATTTGTGGTTTTTTATTTTTTTAAGGTTTTTTATTTATTTGACAGATACACAACACAAGTAGGGAGAGCAGCAGGCAGAGGGAGAGGGAGAAACAGGCTCTCCCTGAGCAGGGAGCCCGATGCGGGGCTCAGTCCCAGGACTCTGGGGTCATGACCTGAGCCGAGGGCAGATGCTCAACCGACTGAGCCCCCCAGGACTCCCCAGGTGTTAATTATGTGAAGTCATCAGGGAGCTCAGGAACGAAAACATCCTAGTGGAGATATTTGCTAACACTAATGTGTACTAGCTATGGACCAGTTTGCTGTTATCCCTACTTTATAGTTGGGGATGCTGAGGCACAAACTGGCCCTAAGGCTCAAAACTGATGTGAAGTGGAGCAGGGATTGGAGTTCATATCCTTTGGCTGTAGAACTTCTATCTTTGACCACTATGTGCTGTGCTTAAAGACTTCAGGCAGAGTTCAGTTGTCCAGGGGTACCTTGGGTGGTGCAGTAGGTTAAGCATCTGACTCTTGCTTTCTGTTCAGGTTGTGATCTGGGATTGAGCCCCCTGCTGAACCCTGTGTCAGACTTTGTGCTCAGTGTGGAGTCTGCTTGAGGTTCTCTTTCTCACTCTCCCTCTGTCCCTCCCCCTGCTTGTGCTCTCTAAATAAGATAACTACAAAAAAGAAATTCAGTTCTCCCGTGCTTCTCCCCTGCCCCCAATCTCCCCAAGAAAAAAGGCCCCAAAGGGGCGCCTGGGTGGCTCAGTCGGTTAAATGGCTGCCTTCAGCTCAGGTCATGATCCCAGGGTTCTGGGATCAAGCCCCACATCAGGCTCCTTGCTCAGCGGGGAGGCTGCTTCTCCCTCTCCCTGCCTCTCTGCCTACTTGTGCGCTCTCTCTGTCAAATAAATAAATAAATAAAATCTTAGAAAAGGGCCCCAAGAAATTTTAACCTAGGGAGCAGTTTCTTAGAGCCATTTATTTTGCTTCAGGCCTGCGTTGGTTTTTTAACTGCTTTAAAAAAAAAAAAATTGTCAGAATAAGGGGGAGTGGCAGGCAGAGGGAGAAGCAGGTTCCCCGCTGAGCAAGGAGCCTGATGTGGGACTCAATCCCAGGACCCTGGAATCATGACCCAAGCTGAAGGCAGACGCTTAACCGACTGAGCCACCCAGTGTCCCTGTAACTGCTCATTTTAAGGATAACTGTTGTGCAAGAAAGTGTTAACTATGGCACCATCATCTGAGAATCCGTTTTATGTGGAGTTTGTTTTTTTATTAAAGATCTTTATTTATTGAGAGAGAATGGTAGCATGAGAGGGAAGAAGGTCAGAGGGAGAAGCAGACTCCCTGCTGAGCAGGGAGCCCGATGTGGGACTCGATCCCGGGACTCCAGGATCATGACCTGAGCCGAAGGCAGTCACCTAACTGACTGAGCCACCCAGGCGCCCATGGAGTTTTTTTTTTTAAGATTTTATTTGAGAGAATAAGAGCAGGGGAGAGGTGCAGAGGGAGGAGAAGCTGCCCCCCGCCCCTCGCCCCGGGTAGGGAGTCTGAAGCGGGGCTACCTGAGCTGAAGGCAGATGCTTAACTGACTGAGTCACCCAGGTGCCCCTTCATGTGGAGTTTTACAAAAAAATGGTTAAGACACCGGAGATTCAGAGGAGTTACCGTTTATTACTTTTTGCATGCAAGGCACTTGAGAGGTTGAAAAGCTGCCTTTTTATGAGGGCTCAGTCCTATGTAAAAGACTAAAAAAGGTTTGCTTTACCGCGTGACCCTGGGAAATACCACTGGAGCCCAGATAACGGCATTCCTGTGAGTACTCTAGGACAGATTGCAAGGTGTCCAGAGTTAAGGGATCAGCATGTTCTAGGCAATGGGGTGTGAGCAGATACTGCTGGGATCATGGGATATGTGAAAGGAAGACAGGTTGGATGGAGTCCTTAAAGGTCAAGGTGAAAGAGTTTAGGTGTCCTAATGTTAGCAGTGAGGCTGTCCTTTCCGTGGTCAGTTTTGATCACTGTAGCCCGTGAAGGTAGACTGGAGGTAGAGAACGTGTTGGAGGTAAGGCAGGCATACGCCCGGTGGTGGCAGTGAGGTTGAAAGAAGGCAGTTGGGGGTGAGTCGGAAGAGCTAGCGAGCGTAGGCAGCATTAGTCTCGCATGCTAGTCTTTTTCTTTTTAAGTAGGCTCCACGTGCAACATGGGGCTTGAACTCAACAACCCTGAGATCAGGAGTTGCGTGCTCCACGGACTGAGCTAGCCAGGCACCCCTGATGTTATTCTTGGAAGTTAGTTGGAAGAGCTAGCATCCACAAGACTGACTAAATTTGTGCTTTGTTGGAACATGTTAGGGTTTACTGTTTCTACTAGTTAAGGTGATACCATTTTATGTCAAAATACGGGGATGATGAAGACCGCTTCAGTTTTGGATATGGCAGGGTCCTTGCAGAGCATGTAAGTGACATATAAGAACGTACTAACATCTCAGGATTGAGTATGGAATGGGGATCATGAGCATTTATTTTATGGGATGGCTGGCTAAAGAACGACGAGCCTGTGGTGCATGGGTGGCTCAGTGGGTTAAGCATCTGCATTCGGCTGGGGTTATGATCCCGGGGTCCTGGGATCAAGTCCCACATCAGGCTCCCTGCTCAGTGGGGAGTCTGCTTCTTCCTCTCCCTCTGCCCCTCCTGCACGTGTTTGCTCGCTCTCAAATAAAATCTTAAAAAAAAAAAGCCTACAGGAAGCTGGTAGGGCTGATTGCTGCATTTGGAAAGTTTTGGATTCCTCCCGGAGTCCCACCTAGCATTAGGAGCATTTAGTCCCATGTGATGAGTGGGTGGCCTTGACATATCTTACCTTGGTGCTTCCTCTTGTAGCAAACTACCTGTTTTCTCTGGTGATTCAGTAGATCAGGATAGGGACGTTTTATACAGACTGTCGGAATATTGTGTGTACACCCCTAAGGAAGTGTGTGGAAGCATAAACACTACATTTCTAGTTGTGTCCTCTAGGTGAGTGATTCCAGGTGAAGTCTGCACAGCTTTGTTCATTGTGAACTGGTGTATCACTGAGTGGCACAGAACCACTCATGTACCTGCATACCTGGATCACCTGCATCTGATGATCTATCCCTTACGAATAGGACACTGGGCTGGTGTGCCTGCTTGTTGCTTTGTCTACCTACCCCTATCTTGCTTCAAAGCCAGAAAGAATTTGGGTGCAAAGGGTATGCAGGATGTAATCCTAGCATCCTGGTTCCCCAACAGCCTTTGCAGACAGCACTCCATAAGTGCTGTTTCCTGGTGAAGAATACTTATATTAATAATACCTCTGGAGGCAAAAATTCAAGAGAAGAAAGGGCTCTTAGAACTCATTCCCAAAGTTTTGGTTTTGTCCTTGGCCTGTTTTCTGGGCAAAGTATAACCTGTAACCCCTTCCTCTAGGGGGCGGCAGGGAGCAGAGGGAGCAGTGAAGCCTGCTGGAGTCTGGGCTAGTGCCAGAAGGAACCCTAGAATTCTGCTTGATTTCTTGTGCTCTTCCTGTGTGTAGAGGGTACTGTCTCTCCCCTTGAAGTGTGCTCTAACTTTACATTTTTTTCCTTAAGGAAAAGTGAAAGAGAAGCTGTGTAGACTCGTCTGTTGTCAAATGCCTCTGACAGCTGACCCATTACAGTTCCAGAACTTTTGTACATACGTCTGTTTTCGACCTTGGCCACAGGGCTAACCATGGGTAGCACTGGAGGAGTTACCAAATGGTAAATGAGGGGATATTCCACGGTGACTCTGAGGCAGAAAGGATAAAGCGGGGAGCCTGCTGCCCTAGGACCAGGCAGTAAAGTAGAGCTTTACTTGGCCTCTGTGGCATTTACATCTGTAGCTTAGCTCTGCATGTGCTTCCAGGCTGGAAGTAGGAAAAACACACAAGTACAAGTTGGCTTTTCATATATTGTGTATAAAAAAAGATTCAGATTTGGGGTGAGTTGGCTGGAACTGCCAGGGACTCCATATGGGGCTGCTGTTGGGGAAGACACCTCAACTTTTCTCCAGGTCGACCACCAGGTAGGGGTGGGTGTTCTTCAGGGCCTGAAGGAGCAGATCTTTGCAGGTCTTGTCCCAGGCTGGAGCAAAGCTGAGGAGCTTCCTCATCTTCATTGGGTTGGTGGACTCTGCCCGCACTGCCCCGTACTGCTCCTCTGACAGGACTTTCCCGTACAGGTCGTCCAGCACCCCATCCACGTCTGTGACACGCGTGATGAGGGCTGCCCGGTGCTGGTCCACGAAGTGCAATCCTGCGGGCAGAATGGAGGCGAGCAGCTGAGCCAGTTCCCAGGGTGGATACTGGGGTCTGTTCCAGCTGAGCTCTGCTTTCTTCAGAAATTGCTCTGTAACCCTAAGGGGTGGGGCTCAAGGTGGGCAGCCCACCCACACTACAGATAAGGTGGGATGAGTGTAACTTTGTTTCTCTCTCCCTCCCACCAGCCCCGTACCCCCCAACCAGGTGTGGCCCAAGGGGTACGTCTATGGGTGGGAAGGGTAGGCCCAAGCTTGCTCCCTTTGTTCCTGGCTCTGGGGGACAGCTCCAGGCTGTGCAGGGGTGTTGTGGGGTGTGGCTGAGAGGTTGGCAGTGAAGGCCTCGCTTGGCTTGGCTGCCATCTTTTAAGAAGCCTGGATCTCAGCAGGTGCCCCTCAAATAGGTGTGGCCCAAGTGGTGTGTGGGTGGGTAGGAAGGGTAGGCCCAATCTTGCTTTCCCAGAGCTGCTGGCTGTGGGACACAGCTCCAGGCTGTGCTGGGGTGTGCTGGGGTGTGGCCGGAGAGGTGGGGAGTGAAGTCCTCACCTGGCTTGATTGCAGTCTGGTGATCCTGGATCCCACCAGGCCCTGGAGTGGGACCTATAAGGAAATCAGTCAGGTGGTCCCCTTCCCTTCCATTATCATAGCTCCAGTCTCTCTGGGGCCAGGGGCCCCTTGGTCCGGAAGCCAAGTTCAGGGCGAAGCACAGGAAACCCTTCCCAGCGGGAGGACCTTTTGTAATTTTTAGAGGGTAGGAGGAACTGAAAGCAAAAGAGCCCAAGGGGCAAACGTTGGGGTGGGGGCTGGTGTGGTGAGGGGACAGAGGAGGCCCTTGCAGAGCGTGGAGGGGGTGTGCTCACCTTTGCGCGTCATCTCCTGCAGCTGCTCCGCTGTCTCTTGCATGCCAATCTCACGCAGCACGACCGCGGTGAGCTCTGCGCTGTACTCTTCCAGATAGAAAGAGACGAGCTTGTCTGTGAGGTCCATGGCGTCCATGGACATCAGTGTCCCCCGCGGGATGCGCCCATAGCCTTCGCGCAGCGGCACTGAAAGTAGCTTCAGCTTGAACTTCTTGAACTCGTCTGCAGTCAGGTTCTCCAGCGCGTCCAGGATGGCGTCGCGAGTGCGCCCCATGGCTCTGGGGTCCTCTGCTGCTGTTGCTCACCCGGGATGTCTGCAGACCAGGAAGTCTGCTCCAGGGCGGGACCTGGAACTCCCCGCCTTCACCCGATTCCCGCCTTCGCCCCGGCCCATTGCCCGGTGGCATAGGGCGCCCCAACCATTCCATTGGTTCCCACCCACCAAGGTCTCCAGACTCACTAGCCTGGCCATCAGGGGGCGCCGGGATTGCGTCCTCCAGCTGATGTGTGAGGTGGGACCTGGGAGATGGCAGAGGGGCTCATGGGGTAGTGCCTCCATCTCCAGGCTTGCAGTAACTAGCACAGACCAGAACCTGGTTTATTGAAAGTGTCAAGGTTTAGAATCTTGAAATTCTAGAACACTAAAATGTCCACATATCCCTGAATCTTAGCATCCACTCTCACAATGTCATAGAATCTTAGAATCCTAACAACCAGAACCATGTAGCTTACCAAATTTCACACACAGAGAAGAAAAGATGTAAAAAAAGGGTAGAGGGGCACCTGGGTGGCTAAGTTGGTTAAGGGTCTGCCTTCAGCTCAGGTCATGTTCCCAGAGTCCTGGGATCGAGCCCCGCATCAGGCTCCCTGCTCAGCAAGGAATCTGCTTATCCCTCTCCCTCCACCCCTCACTCCTGCTCATGCTCTCTCTCAAAACCTTAAAAAAAAAGTGTACTTTCTCTGTGCCTCAGTTAGCTTATCTGTAAAATGGGATCATAATACTCATGCACTTAGTAAATATTCCAGCGTAACATGGGCTACCTGATGGCCTCTGAAACCTTGCCAGACACTTCTGTGACAGCCAGGATTTGGTCCCAGGAGCTGAATTTCTGGGGAATTGTTGATGAGACACTTGTAATGAATGGTTGAGAAACTTCTTGATGGAGGGAAAGTCATGGGTGCAGAGTCACCCTGGGCCCAGTGGGCTTGACCTAGAAGAGCAAGTGAAAGGTGGCATGAGTAGGCATTGGAACCCAAGCTGTGCCCAGAATCCTTAACTTGCCTTTAACATGTCTGGGAAGGCCCTGCTGGTCTGGCCCCCGTGGACCTCACCAGCCTTGTCTTGTGCCACACCCTGTTCTCCGTCTGTCTCTGAGTTTCAACCACACTGGCCTCTCAGTTCCTCAAATGTGCCACACTCCCTTGCTTCTCCAAGCCTTTTTTTTTTTTTTTTAGTTTTGCTTTTTAAAGGTTTTATTTCAGAGAGAGAGAGAGCATGAGAAGGAGACTCCCTGCTGAGAAGCAGACTCCCTGCTGAGCAGGAAGCCTGATATGGGATTCGATCCCAAGACCCTGGGGTCATGACCCCAGCCGAAGGTAGATGCTTAACCGACTGAGCCACGCAGGTGCCCCTCTCTAAGCCTTTCAACGTGTTCCCTTGATCTGGAAATTTCTTCCCTCACTTTTTGCCTGGTAAATTCTTGAAACTTTAGGTTTCCAGTTAAATGTCACTTCCTCTGGCCAACCAGGTTTAGAATCCCTCCCAGACTAGTTCATAACACCTGCTCTCATAGCAATTGTGACTGAATTGTGACTATATGGATTTGTTTAGCATCAGTCTTCCCTGCCGGTCCGTAAGTCATGCCTGTCCAGATCGTTGTTGCATCCACAGCATCCAGAACAGCGCTTGGCCTATGGTGGTGGTTCAAGAAATCTTTGTGGAACCAGTAATGAATGAAGGGGCCTTGTGGGAAATGAATCATGAGCAACTCTTAACTATAGAGAACAAACTGAGGGTTGATGGAGGGAGATGGGTATTAAGGAGGGCATGTGTTATGATGAGCACTGGGCATTATATGTAAATGATGAACCACTGAACTCTACTCCTGAAACCAATATTGAACTATATGCAACTAACTAGAATCTAAATTAAAAAAACAACAACAACAATGAAGGCACCTTGTGGTTCAACGGAGGATACCAGAGGCAGCTGCCAGGAGCTGGAAGACTGGGCTTGAAGCTGTCCAGTGTCTAGTTTGAATCTGGGCTCTCCTTCCTAGGTGGTTATTGGGAATCCTTCATTTTTCCATTTCAGCTGGGTTGTAACAATCACCATTCCTTTTACTGATGTGATCCTGACATACACATTTATTTATTCATTTATTGAACATCCATCACCCAGCTGTGAGCTCGGTGAAGGCAGGGACCTTGTGTGTCTTGTTCATTGTTGAATCCCCAGCATCAAGACAGTGCTTGATCCCTAGGAGGTGCTCAGTGAAGATTTGCTAAATGAAGGAATAAATGAGGCCGTGTCACCTGCAGCATGTTGTATTCAAGAGCTTCCAGCAAGGGTAGTGGCGGGGCTCACTCCCCATCCTTGTGCATGTTGCCTCATGTGGTCTAGGTATATTATGTGTCAACGGCCTCACCATGGGTGACACTTGTGGTCCAATAACTAGTGTTCCTTGGCTTATGGCTGTTTATTATTGTGCTTCTTCACTGGTCTTTATCCTTTTACAATCTCTGATTCATTTTGTACACTGTGGCCAAAAGGCTACATCTTCCTAGCCCACACATTGATCTTTCCCCTTCCTGCTCAGAAACCTGTGACTCTCCAGTGCCCTCAGAATCAAGTCCAAGCTCCTTGGCTTGGTCTTCAAGATTCTTGCCAACCTCCTCAGCTACACCTTCGACCCTGTTGGCCTCTGGACTTCTTTCCACAAGTGGCACCTGTTCTTTGCTTGGCCTCTTTAAAGTCCCTTCTGGTTGCCTTGATGAGTTACTGCTTGTCCCAACATCCATCAGGAGTCACTTTTTCGAAGAAATAATAAAAATTTGAGCGCCCTCTTTAGGCTGTGATCTTTTACATGCATTATTTCGAAGCCTGACAACAATCCCTGTGGGACAGGGTCTAGTAGCCCTATTTTACCAATGAGAAGACAGGCTCAGAGAGGTTGAGGGACTTGCCGAAGGTCATATAGCTGAGGGGATCATATGGCTTGTCTGTCTGGATTCTGAATTTGTCTTCTGTCTACGCTTCCCTGTTGACTTTTCTGTCCTCTGTGCAAAATGAACTATTCCTTTACACGCCTGCAGGATGCCTTTACGATGCTTTTATCATACAGTGTGTCTGTTCACTCTGTTTTCCCACCAGACTGAGAGCTCCTTGAGGACCCTCTGTGATCCACAGCACCCACCACAGGGCTTGGCATAACTCCAGCCATTATAAGCCTTTATGGAATGACAAAAGAATCCTAGAATCTAGAATAATAAAAACCTGCTCTTTTCACATTGGTAGAATCTTACATGCTTTAAAAAAAAAAGATTTTAGGGGAGGCTGGGGGGCCAGTCGTTGGGCGTCTGCCTTCGGCTCGGGTCATGATCCCAGGGTCCTGGGATTGAGCCCCACATTGGACTCCTTGCTCTGTGGGAAGTCTGCTTCTCCCTCTCCCATTCCCCCTGCTTGTGTTCCCTCTCTTGCTGTGTCTCTCTGTCAAATAAATACATAAAATCTTTTTTTTAAGATTTTATGTATTTATTCATGAGAGACAGAGGGGGAGAGAGAGAGAGAGAAGCAGAGGGAGAAGCAGGCTCCCAAGGAGCAGGGAGCCTGATGCGGGACTCGATCCCAGGACCCTGGGATCATGACCTGAGCCGAAGGCAGACGCTTAATAATCTGAGCCACCCAGGTGCCCTAAATACATAAAATCTTAAAAAAAAAAGATTTTATTTATTTATTTTAGAGGGAGAGAGTGAGTGTGCATGAGCAGGGGTGAGGGGAGGAGCAGAGGGAGAGACGGGGGTAAGAATCTCAAGCAGACTCAAGCCCATGTGGTGCTCCATCCATGATCCTGAGATCATGAGCTGAGCCGAAACCAAGAGTTAGATGCTTAACCAACTGAGCCACCCAGGTGCCCCAGTACTTTGGGTTTTTGAGTCATGGAATTTTAAAAATGATTGCCTGACTCAACCCCCACATAGAGCAGGGACTCCCTAACCACATGGCCATATTTCTGTATCTCTTGAACCCTTGTTTGGATGGGATGGCCTTGGCTTTAAGTAAACTCAATGTAACGTATTTCAATGGAACTCGTGGGACTGTGGGAAATTGTGCCTGGGGGAATGTGTGTCATCACTAGGAGGAGAAGGTGGGCTTCTCCTTACAGCTGGCTTCCTGGGGGCAATGGGGCTGAAGATGTGTGACATGGCACAAGGGTCATGTGCCCTTCCCTTGTTCCTGCATGTCACCACCCAGGACCCTTTTGGGCCCAGCTTGTCCCTGGCATCCAACCCCAGTCACATTTCTGCTCACACATATTCAGACTGGGACACGGAAGATCCAGGCTGTGATTTTCATCCGACATCTCAGAGCACGTGCTGGCCCTGTGGTGTGATGTCATAGGGAGGCAAGGGACAAGGGACGGGAGAATAGCTATTCCTTTCATGGAACTGGAAGCCTCACCAGCCGGTGGTTTTAGGATTCACCTCAGTTAGAAGAAGTGACACTTTTTGGAGGGTGGATGTGCTCTATGAGCATATTGTAGACTCTGAACTCAGAAGGGAACATAGGTTTTGGAGAATCTATTTTATTCTATTTTTTAAAAATTAATTTTTTAGAGAGAGAGAGAGCATGTGAGTGAGGTAGGGAGAGGGACAGAAAGAGGGAGAGAGAGAGTCTTTTTTTCTGTTTGTTTTGTTTTAAAGATTTTATTTATTTGACAGAGAGAGACAGAGCGAGAGAGGGAACACAAGCAGGGGGAGTGGGAGAGGGAGAAGCAGGCTTCCCGCCGAGCAAGGAGCCCGATGCGGGGCTCAATCCCAGGACCCTGGGATCATGACCTGAGCTGAAGGCAGATGCTTAATGACTGAGCCAGCTAGGCTCCCCTGGAGAGAAAGAATCTTAAGCAGGCTCCATGCCCATCGTGGAGCCTGACACGGGGCTCGATTTCACCATCCTGAGATCATGGCCTGAGCCAAAATCAAGAGTCAGAGGCTTAATGGACTGAGCCACCCAGGTGCCCCTATTTTATTCTAAATAGATGTATTAAGGATCTACTAGACGCCCACCCACATGATCAGTGCTGGTGGGAGACAGTAATAGTAGTAATAATAGCTTCCATTCTTTAGAAT